AAACAATAACCATCAGTCCAAACTGATAGTTTGTTTTTATTATCTATTTGTTTTATAAAATCTTCAGCCTGCTGTTTTGTATTAAATTTTTTATACAAAGCACCAGGATATTCGTGAATTTGTTGTTTATATTTTTCCCATGACATATAAATTCCTGGTTCACGACCAACACGAACAGCATAATAACCTAATGTTGAATAATATATAAGATTTGACATCCTTGCAGTCATTCAACAGAAGTCAAATTATACAAGGGTAATAAATTACTGAGGTGGAAATGAGAGTTAGTATAAAGTGAAAAAAACGAATTTCTAAACAAAATATAGTTGGGATCTCTCTCACCTTAAATTTTTTTTAATGTTTAAAAAAAAATAGATATTAGGGTTTAAATAGAAATTTAGAGCTAATTAAAAAAAATCTGATTGGTCAAAACTAATCAGATGATTTTATTATATAAAATAAAAATAAGTAACTCTTAAAAAATATACTCTGATTTTCTATTTATTTAATCAAATCATCATCTAAATTTAGGCGATAAATTTTATAACATTTCTCACAAATCTCATAACAATGAAATTTTTCATCTTTTGTTTTGCATGTTGATACTTTACAATCATAAAATTTGTCTAGAAACCATATACTATACTTAAAAAGAATTTGTTTTTCTAAACATCATTCACATTTCTTTTGAAATATTCGAAAGTTTGAAATGAAAAATCAAGTAAACGTAATAAATTAAAATAAGCGAAAGGGATTTCATATTTCTTTTCGTTATATTTTAAAAAAATCTTTTCATCGTAATAAAAATAATATTTAGTTTTTTCAACAGGAGTATAATCTTTATCATGTAGTAAAATATATTTGGTTCCATGATTCTTGAACAATGAAAGATAATAAAACTATTTTTTACAAACTAATTTGATCGATAGGGTGGTTGGTAAATCAGATAGGGTTATTTTTGTTCGAAAGATATTGTATAGTATTAAAAATAGAATTTCGTTTGGTAGATTGTTGATATTCATCTTTATTGTTAAATAAAATAAATTCTACTCAGTTTAAACTGAGTAGAGAATAAGCAAATAGTTCAGTAACCTTTTTGAAAGAGAATTCCTGATAAATTTCAATTTTCCTCTTTTGGCAACAGCATAATATTTTACTTATTTACCTTTATTATAAGAGTAAAAAATTTAAATATATAGTATAATATATAGTATAATGCAAAACAAAGGAAAAAAGCTTTAGAAAGTTCGATTAAACATAAAGATAGGTTTGAACCGATCTCGATTTCAACCATTTTTTACAAACTAATTTGATATTTTTATTGTTAAATAAAATAAATTCTACTTGGTTTAAACTGAGTAGATAAGCAAATAGTTAATTAAATTCTAATAGAATACATGTTCGATAATATAGATTATATTTTGGTACTTGACAGTTTCTTCTAACACTACAAACGATTCAACCGTTTGTATTTTTAAAATATAATTAAATTCAGATTTTGTTGGTATACGAAGTGATTTTTGCTTTTCCTGAATTGAAATAAATTTTTTAAACGTTTCCTCATCGAATTGAGAAATTTCTTTAAGAAAATTGATTATGTTTTCTGATTGCTGATTTGCTCGATAAAATTTTTGTATCAAAGAGAAAATGTTGCAAGTGATAATGTTGTGTTCAAATTTTATGTATCTCATCTTTAAATGGCTCTCCAATCTGATGAATTTATTATTTTAAGTTGTGTTTGCTTAGGACAATTATGAAACCAATTTTGACAAAGTTGGTGGATATGTGTAAGATTTATAAGTGATAATGTATTAAAAAGATCTACTGCTATATTTGAGTCATTCATGTGATTTCTTCTGAAAAAACACGAATCAATATCACATCGATTATTAAAAACATTGCAAGAACCACAGAAGTCATGTCTAGAACATTTGTCACAAGTTAGTTTTCCAATATCAGCTATATCATCATAATGTTTTAAAACTATGGTTTCATTAGACCTTCTATCATCTAATATTCTAATAAACCGTTCTCCTTTATCAGTCTTGAAAAGAGTTTTCCGAATAAATAGTTTTTTTTTAATATATTTTTGATTTTTCCTTTGACAGAGTCCACATTCTAGTTTAAAAACACAATTAAGTTTTGCTTGTTTACAAAATTCACACCGTTGATATCTTTTATCAAAATAAACAACATCTAACTTTTTG